CCTGGTTTTCATTACTATGAAGCTGATGGCACTGCCTTGAACATCTATGACATCACAGGATCTACACACTCACGCATCATCCAGTGTCTTAAATCCAGGAAGCCGTCTGCTGGATTTGACCGAGACCTCACTAAGTTTGAGGAACTCGCTGATGGTCCACCACCAAGCGAGTCACCTCCAGCAGCTGCTCCTGAGGAGCCTCCTACGGATAACGATGGTCGGCTCCCGACCATCATAGAGGAAACAGAAGAAGATCTGGATGCTTTTGTCTTGAAGTCGTGGTATGCTGAACTGATGGATGACAGAACACTCCTTGAAGCTGACACAGAGGAAGTCATGCATACAGTTCCCACATACATGACAGACACACAGTGTGTGTTAGTCTCTACGGCCTGTGAAGATGTGCAAGGCCACTTGCCGGAGCGGGGTCACCCGCCAGGATACGACATGGACACTTCTTACTACGTTCCTTTATGCTCCACGGATCCGGATAGCAAATATGATCTGGACTCCGATGAGCACGGGAAGTACATCGAGCTCTGCTTCACTGCAGACATGTCCAAAGTCGTCCTGTCCGAGCAGCAACACCGATTGTTGGATGACAGCAGCGTCACAACTATGCGAGTATACGTTAGCGCTGCCTCCAAACGTGCCGTGGTCGTCAAGGAAGACGATCTACTCACGAAGGCCGACATCCAAGCAAATCCGGTCAAAGTTTCCAAAGCCCTCTACACAGAATTGAAGACTTGGCTTGACAACAAATGCTTCCAGATGACTGACTTAAGCAAGGCGTCTAACATCATGACGTCACGCTACGTATACAAATGGAAGTTTGTCAAGAACGAAAAGGGCGAAATGGAAAGGGCGATCAGGTTACGCTTGGTACTCCGTGGCTTCATGGACCTTGAAGCCTTTGATGTCGAAACCTTCTCTGGCACGGCAAGGAGGTCAAGCCAGAGACTGCTCGCAAGTTCTGCTGCATGCAACAAAGCTTGGATCATCGCTTCCCTGGACATCAACATGGCTTTCTTGAAGGGACTGACCTATGGCGAGCTCGCCGCGGCAACGGGCGAGAAAGAGCGTGTGGTGTGCTTCACACTACCACCTGGGTCAGCAGCTGTCCTTCGCACACTGCCAGGCTTTGAGTCATATGACGAATCAAAGCATTGTCTCCGGTGTCTGAAACCGGGGACGGGCACGAAGGATGCTCCCAGGGCATTCTCGCTGAAGCTCAGGTCCATCACTAGGAGCTTTGGGCTACAGCCTACTTCATACGACGAAGAGTTCGAGATGAGCCCAAACCTCTTGACAGCCAAGCACGTTGATGACATCAATATGACTGGGAAGGAAGAGGCTATTGACAAGTATGTCAAGTGTGTTGAAGATACGTTTGGGAAGTGCAAACTGAACAAGCACACATACACAAACTGTGCCGTTCGGTACAACAAGACCGATGATGGGAGCGTCACTCTCGATCAGGACGAATACATCAAACAGCTTCGTCCTATCACACATCCAGAACTCACAGGAGCTGATCCTGAGAGCAAAGCGACAAAGACGATTTCTGATATGTTCGTCAGTCTTCGTGGCGCTCTAGCCTATGCGTTGATCACGCAGGTATGGCTGATGGTCTATGTTGTCTCACTACAACGTATCCAGGAACCGACAAACATCCAGGTACGACGACTAAACGCGGTTACCAGAAAGCTACAGGCAGGTCCGAAGAAGATCGTGTATCAAGCTATGACCCAACAGGAGAAGTCGACCTGCATAGCGATTCTGGCTATCGTCGTCTCAACGGAGATGAAGACGACGAAGTCAAAGGCTATGGTATCCGCGGGGCTAACCTGCTGAGGCGTGGCCACACGCAAGCGGGGAAACCCGTCGTGCACCTGGTGGACGCATACTGCAAGTCTCATCGACTGCAGGTGCGTTCGAGCTACTCTGCGGAAACACTGGCAGCAGCCCACAACTTGGAAGACTGCTACCCGACCATTGTAACGCTCCACGAGCTACACTCGGGACCATTGACCCCCACACAGTTAAAGAACATATTGGAAATGGGTGGTCTATGTATCAAAGTCACTCTGACTATTGATGCCGAGTCTGTCTTCAAGTCTTTGTCTAGCAAAGATCTGAAGAAGCCCACAGAATGTACTCTGCTTGGGCACATTAGCTGGATCCGCCAGATGATGGAGCGCGGAATCGTTGAAAGCGTTCAATGGTGTGACACGCGGGATATGACTGCCGATGGTCATACCAAAGGTAGTATTGACCGCGCGTTGCTCCTACAAGTAATGGCCGGCCAGCAATCCTTCAAGCACGAGCTGAAGAAACATACGCCGTATAGGGCGGGCAGGTCGTCTCAGGACGGCCCTGCCTCCCGAGCCAGCGGGGAAACCCGCGGGCAGGTGCGCTTTAGTAGCGAGGAAACTCGCCGGTAGCGAGGCTACTCGCGCGCCCTTTCCTTGTAGGCAGCCGCTGCTGCTTAGCACTGTTTTTTCCGCATAATGTAGAAGTGCGGCACCTGCTCGTCTCCTCCCCCTCCGACTTTAAACGGAGAAGGTTAAAGGCGAGGTATAAATCGAGCATGTACCGCTGCCGTGCCTGGCTCAAGCCGGGCCCGGCCAAATATATGACTGTGCCTCACTGAGGCGCACGACTTGCATCAGAGATCGGAAAATACCTTTTCCATTGACGATGCCCATCCTATCCTTTTCTCCAGATCCCATGCTTCGTCTTGCACTCTTGCTCATGCGATATGAGCCAAAGCCTGGGATATGGCAACGCTTAAAGCGTAACACATACCTAAGCTTACCAGCTTGTTTTCGACTGCGTGTGCGTGTGCGTGTGCGTGTGCGTGTGCGTGTGCGTGTGCGTGTGCGTGTGCGTGTGCGTGTGCGTGTGCGTGTGCGTGTGCGTGTGCGTGTGTGTGTGCGTGTGTGTGTGTGTGTGCGTGTGTGCGTGTGTGTGTGTGCGGTTGTGTGGTGCGTGTGTGAGTGCGCGTGTGCGCGTGCGCGTGCGCGTGCGCGTGCGCGTGCGCGTGCGGCGCGTGCGCGTGCGCGTGCGCGTGCGCGTGCGCGTGCGCGTGCGCGTGCGCGTGCGCGTGCGCGTGCGCGTGCCCCTGCGCCTGCGCCTGCGCCTGCGCCTGCGTCTGCGTCTGCGTCTGCGTCTGCGTCTGCGTCTGCGTCTGCGTCTGCGTCTGCGTCTGCGTCTGCGTCTGCGTCTGCGTCTGCGTCTGCGTCCGCGTCTGCGTCTGCGTCTGCGTCTGCGTCTGCGTCTGCGTCTGCGTCTGCGTCTGCGTCTGCGTCTGCGTCTGCGTCTGCGTCTGCGTCTGCGTCTGCGTCTGCGTGTGCGAATGCGTGTGCGTGTGCGTGTGCGTGTGCGTGTGCGTGTGCGTGTGCGCGTGCGCGTGCGTGTGCGTGTGCGTGTGCGTGTGCGTGTGCGTGTGCGTGTGTGCGTGTGAGCGTGGGTGTGGGTTTGGGTGTGGGTGTGGGTGTAGGTGTGGGTGTGGGTGTGGGTGTGGGTGTGGGTGTGGGTGTGGGTGTGGGTGTGGGTGTGGGTGTGGGGGTGGGGGTGGGGGTGGGGGTGTGGGTGTGGGTGTGGGTGTGGGTGTGGGTGTGGGTGTGGGTGTGGGTGTGGGTGTGTGTGTGGGTGTGTGCGTGTGCGTGTGCGTGCGCGTGTGCGTGTGCGTGGCGTGCGTGCGTGCGTGTGTGTGTGTTCGTGCATTGTTTGTGTGTGTGTGTGTTCTGTGTGTCTGGTGTCCTGTGGTGTCCGTGTGTCCTTGTGTGTGTGTGTGTGTGTGTGCGCGGCGCGGGCGGGCGGGCGGCGGGCGGGCGGGTCGGGCGGCGGGCGGGCGGGCGGGCGGGCGGGCGGGCGGGCGGCGTGCGTGCGTGCGTGCGTGCGTGCGTGCGTGCGTGCGTGCGTGCGTGCGTGCGTGCGTGCGTGCGTGCGTGCGTGCGTGCGTGCGTGCGTGCGTGCGTGCGTGCGTGTGCGTGTGTGTGTGTGTGTGTGTGTGTGCGTGTGTGTGTGCGTGTGTGTGTGTGTCGGTCGGTTCGCCGCGTGCGGCGCAGGGCCGGTTCGCCTGCGTGGGCCGCTTGCCGCTCAGCTTCGGCCGCCGCTGCCAGCTGGGCGCCGCCGCTGGCACCGCTGCTGGTCTTTACGTCGCCTCGTGCGGTCGGCCTCCAGCCCGCGAGCCAGCCTGCGAGCGGCCGCGAATCGCGCCGTCTGCAGAGGCGGGCTGCGCGCCTCCGCGGAGATCGTCTTCGGCGTCATCGTGCCGAGCTGGCGGCTGGACCCGCTCGCGGTGACGGTGCTCGCGCCGCTCTGGCAGGCGGCCAAGGCCCTCCGCCGTCAGCGCTTCCCTCAGCGACCTGTGGCGCGACGCGGTGGGTGCCATGGACGCAGGGCACGGCAGGCGGTTCGGCCCCATCGCAGCCGCCATGCGCAGCCTGGCGGAGCTCCGGCTAGGCGCCGACATCGCGGAGCCCCGGCGGCGCCAGAAGGCTGGCGCCCACCCGCCCGCGCGCTCCCCGAGACCCGCGTAGCTGGGGTAGTAGGCGGGAGGCCAGAGAGGTCGCCCGGCGCCGGGACGATTACCGCCCACCTGGCTCCAGGGGTCGACCGCTGGGCGTCTCACAAATTCTTTGAGTCTGGGCAGCTCTCTCCTGACGCCGCTGGGGCGCTCAGGACAGCTCTCTCTGGCAACGTCGTCACCAGAGTCTGTGGCGGCGAAGTGCGGGCGACCGCGCTCGTGCCCCCACTGCGGGGCGGCGACCGAGGACCTGGAGCACAGGCTCTGGGCGCGCCCGCGATGGCAGGCCACCCGCGACGCAGCGTTCGCGGCGGGAGGGTTCTCCCAGGCCGTCGCCTTCGCCTGCCTGCCGGCCGGGGTGGCGCGCACGGCGCTGCTGCCCGAGAACGCCCACCTGGTCACTCTCGCGGACGAGGTCCAGCAGGCGCTCCGGTTGCCGCAGTTGCCAGACCCCGCGACGGCAGAAATGCCGCAGGGCAGAGTCCGGGCTTGGACCGATGGCTCGTGCTTGCACCCAGGCGACCCATTGCTCGCCCTCGCCGGGTGGGGGGTGCGGCTCGATGGCCTCCCTGGCAAAAGCTTTGAAAGCTGCGGGCCCGTTGATGGGCGGCAAACAGCCCAGCGAGCAGAGGTGTGGGCCGCGGTGCACGCGTGCAGCCTTGCCAGAGCGCCGCTGGAGGTCGTTACCGAGTCGCGGTTCGTCGCGGGAGGGGTGTCCGCGCTGCGCGGCGGCGCCAGCCCGTTGGAGTGGCAGCACGGGGATCTCTGGGAGGAGATCGCGCTTCACTGCCGCAGCGGACTGCTGCGGGCCCGATGGGTGAAGTCCAAGTTGGGCAGAGCTGAGGCCGCCGAGCGAGGCATCTCAGAGGCGGACTGGGCTGGGAATGCCGCGGCGGACGAGCTGGCCGACGCCGGCGCGCAGGCGCGGCTCTCCCCCCCCAGGCTGTTTTGCCAGCGGCGCGCGCGGCAGTTTGAATGCCACAACGATCGCAGCGCGGCCCAAGGCGGGCGTGGAACCCGACGGCGCTGGACAGCGCCCGGGCACCGCCGCAGGCGGGCGCCGCGGGAGGTGGACAACGCTGCCGCGGCAGTCGCCGTGGCGCCGCCCGTTCGGGCGCAGTCTGTGCAGCTTGGGCGCCCCCGCCTCAGCCGCGCAGCCCCGCGCAGAGGAGGCGCCCGCTGCGGCCGCGGCGCTGTTGGCGGGCAGCGCATGGCGGCCGGCACCCGGCTGCCCAGGGCCCGGAGGAGGGGAGGCAGCGTCCCGACGAGCTTCCACGCCGCAGGAGGAGGAGGAGGAGGAGGAGGAGGAGGAGGAGGAGGAGGAGGAGGAGGAGGAGGAGGAGGAGGGGCACCGTGGCCAGATCTCGCGGTGACCCACAAGGGGGGGTGAAGAAAGGGGGGGGATGAAGAAAGGGGCCCCGAAGGGGCCCTTTCTTTCTTCATCCCCCTTGTCTTCATCCCCCCCAAAAGGGCCCCAGAGGGGCCCTTTTCTCCATCCTCCCTTTTTAGGTCCCCCCCCATGAACACCCGCCCGAGTGTGGGGAGGAGCGTACAGATCGGGACCGAGGTTGGCAGAACGAGAGTGGCTGAGCGGGCGGCTTGGTGATGGAGCGAGGGGCACGGTCTTGCCTTGTTTTTCTCTCTCTCTCTCTCTCTCTATATATATATATGTGTGTCGCGTGGCTGTCCAGCTAAGCGACTGTCGTGGGTGTCGCATTTCGCCTTGGCTGTGGGTCGCCGAGGCTCTGGATGTCCGGATCCAGGGTCTGAGCCGCTTCTCGTCTTCAATGTGCACGTTCTCGTCAACGTCGGTTGTGTAATATATGGCTGTTTAGGCTATTTGTGGGTGCTCGACCAACGCCAGGGGCGGGTGCATTGGCATTTCGCGTAGTCCATGCCTTCCCTCTCTCCGTTTGCAGTTGTCGGGCTTTTAAGTTTATGTGGCCGTCCACGGAGTTTGGGCCCAGACCTGTTGATCGGCAATCTTGCGTTTCTTCCGATCCCGAGTGGATTGATTTTGGGGCAGTGCTTCACTGGGGAGTTACTTCGTGTGTTCGTCGCGCTGTCGTTCCCCTCAGCTTTCCTCCTTCTTCTCGCAAAATAGCGCTCGAACAAAAATGCCGAACGCACCAGCTGCGGAAGAGCCTACACCTGCGGACCACTCGACTGAGTGATGAAGCCGAGGTCCTTGAGAGCCCAGCTCTCAGGAACGACCTCCTTCCTCCCAGCGCTGGGTTAGAGGCCACGCTGGGATGTGGGACGGGAAAGGGGAGGTGGAGGGGGAGGAAGAGAAGGAGAACGAGGAGGAGCATGGGGGGTGCCCCTTGAGAACACTTGACGGTCCCACCCAACTTGCACATCACACAGATCGATTTGGCCTGGAGCGCGCGCAGGTGTGGTTCTAGGTTCAGCACAGCGGTGATCTCCGAAGTGCGAGTGCTTTGCGGCTGCTGGTGCGTGTGGCTATTTTAACGCACAGCTGGGATGACCACTGACTTGCTCCGCGAGCGGTCGCATTTTCCGCGCTGCAAGTATAATGCGGTGGCACTGGTAGCGAGCGACGAATCTGCTGCATCGGGCGGCCAAAGACTTTGAGTTTTGCTCTAGCTGTTTCGACGAGGAGGGCAGCATACACAAAAATCATCCAACCAGACAAACCTTACACACCACACGGCGCCACGCATAGTACCACACAGCACCACACCGCGCGTTTAAAGTGTTTTGGCGTTCGGAGCCACGAGACTTCGAAGTGGCCCAACAGCCTTGCTGCCACTCGGCAATAGGCCACCGCGATGACTGAGGTGGGTCTCCGCTGTGCGTGGCCTATAGCGACAGACTCGGCTCTTCCAGACGTTTCTTATTGCTCCCGCGACACGGAAGTTCTCCATGCGGAGTATTTGATGCGCGATCTATGGTTTTCAGTGTTCCTCCAGCCGCCACTTCTCTCCTGCATGCGCGTTCTGTTGCCGTATGTTTTCGCGCCCGGCGACTCCGCTTGCGGAGCGAGGTACCTTCATAGGTTCCTCGACCAGATGTGATTTGACTTGACAGTGTCAGACTGCGAAGCGATAAGATGGTCGCCGTTCTTCCTTGAACAAGTTCGATGTTCGTTCAGATTTCTCGACGATCGCGGCGTCTTGCTGGGAAGCTTGGGGTATTGTGGATCGGACCTGTCTGGCATGGGGGGGACATCTGCCCGCGTAGACTCGTGACAGAAGGGGGAAGAGAAGAGGGCGACGACGACGAGCAGGATGGCGCGAGAGGGCTCCTTGTGCACAGAGGGCTGCAAGAGACGTTGATGGCAGCGATCATTGTGGTTACTTGGCTCCAACAAAAGTTTCCTTGGAAACTCGCAAGAGGAATAATATGTATCTAAACCCGTCGGCATGATGAAAAGTCGCGCGCGCGTGCTCAGCGTTCGCACGCACGCGATCCCAAGACGTCCCATGGCCACAACATGCTTCCAGGAATGCCTCAGGCCACGGACGATAACGTCCAGAGGACCCAGGATGATGCCACCCCAACGCGATCCCGCCATGGATTCTGGACCGTCTCAGGCCGACTCGCAGATGACGAAACACATGAGCGACGCGTGACGCCGAGATGGCCCGATGGCAACATTCCTGATCCAAGCGCACCCAGGGTGGCCTCATAATGACCACGCGATGGTTGCGTGATCCAGACATGACCAGGATATGATCTCAAGATGACCTCAAGACGATCCCAACACGGCAATAATACAACAACTTATGAGCACCATCTTACTTCGAGCCGATCCCAGCATGGTGGGATCCGTGAACGGCCCGGGATTTTGGTCTACCCCATTTTTAATGGGTGGGATTTTGGTCGTCCTGAACTAAACTTATAATATTAAAGCGGAATAAGCCAGGCGGGATCCCGCCCGGCCCACGGAGGAAGACAACATTGCTAGGCTTCTACGGGGGTAGGGGGTTCGGAAAGGGCGTCGTTTACTTCCGCTGACATTGGCAAGCCTTCCGGCGGCCTTCCCCCGTCTTCCGCCTCGTTTTACTTCCGTCGGCTTCCGCCGGCCAGCGTCGTGATGAAAATTCCAGGAACTTTCATTGGGCCGATGTAGGAGGGCCAGGCGCTTCCGCCATGGCGAGAGTGGCACGGCCCCACCCCTTTCAGCCTGCACTTCCTGCACATCATCCGCGTGCCCCTTCCTCTAGCTCCCACTTAACTTGCTCTTCTAGCCTTTCATCGCGCTTTCCCGACGCGCGCGTGAGTGTGCTTGAATCCTCCGCCAGGGACCATTCAGAAATCCGCCGCACCCTTCCTTTCCGTATCCTCGCCCTCCCCAAAACATATGTCCTTTTCTTTCTTCCTCACCTTTTTTCTTCCTACTCCGCATTGTCCCCAGCACCCTTCCCATTATGGCCATCAGCTCCCGAGCACAGTGCTGGCTGGGGAAGCCCTTCCGCGGCCAGCACCCTTGCGCTGATCAGGGCCTGTGCGAGGGCGGGGTGGTCCCGCTCACGCCTCCTGGAGAGTTCGGATACGCACAGGCTCCTGCAAGGACGAGCGGGAAGTGTGACCTCGGTGAGCTGCGTTGCGCCACTGGGGGAGTCGCCCACGCACTCACTATGCCCATCCTGCTCGTATAGCATATTCCTTCGTCCCTTCAGGTTCCTCCTCCAGGCTCCATCTTCAACTCGAGTGCCAGCTCTCTGTTGCGCTCAAGTTACAAGCTGACGTCGCGCCAAGATTTAAGTCGGGCATGTCCCTCTACAGGAGGAAAATGTACAAGTAGCCCCAAACAATAATTTGGGGACGATATGTCGATTATTGTTTGACCATCTTTGGAAACATATTTATTTATATATATAAATGTACATCCAAAGATGGTCAAACAATAATCGACATATCGTCGGAAAGGAACGAAGCGCAGACTCATCGGCCTAAATCAGCGCACAGGGGGAGACAACGACTGGTGGGGATTTTTGTCCGCGGCCACAGGCGAAGGCGCCCGCAGCGGGTCGAGTCAGCTCGGGCTACGAGCGAACCGAATTGACGGCGCGCGCGCAGGGGAAGGCAAACCTACCGCCGGGGGAGGCCGCTGCGCAGGGGCCGTGCTGCAGCTGCGCCGGGGACCGTGGAAACTGGTGGGGATACGCGACGGGTCAAGAAGTGCAAGGAGCGAAATGAAACGGGCTGGGCCACTTCGTGCGCTGCACCTCGGGGCTCCGAAATGCGAGGATTTCTGGAACGGTGCCGCCCAGGCCCATCGCAGCAGGGCCTTCGGCCCGTGGCCCGTTTTAAGTTATCGTGTTCGTTTTTGTTGCTCTTCCCCCCCTCTCCTTTCTCCTACTCCTCCTCGTCCTCCTCCTCCTCCTCCTGCTTCTCCCCCATCCTGCCTCTCGCGGCGCTGGCGTCGACCAGGCCCGTCGCAGGAGGGCATTCGGGCCCGCGCCAGCAGCGGCGGCGTCAAAGGGGGGAGGACGACCACGACCATGATTGCGACGACGACGACGTCGACGATTTCGAGGGCGACGGCGACGGCGACGACGATGACGACGACGACGACAACGACGACGACCACGACGATGACGACGACGACGACGACGACAGCGGCCTAACAGGTTGCAGCAGTTACACGGATGGAAGGCTTGCGGCCGATCCCGCCACCGTACTTGGGTTGTGGTTTGGGGGCCTTCTCGGAGCCGTCTGGGGCTCTGTTGGGCGCCTCTTGGGCCGTCTTGGGGCAATCTTGGGGGCCTTTGGGGCCGTCTTGGGGCGCTCTTGGGGGCTTCATGGGCGGCGTGGAGCGTCGGAAAGCCGAAAAGGCGAGAAGGAAAAAAACATCGAACAACACAATGGACAAACAACGATTTTCGCTTCTCGGGGCCCTGTAGGGAGGGTTTCTGGGGGCCTCTTCGGCCTGCCGATGGCGTTATGAAGGGTCTGAGGTCGTCGCGACGCTTCCGTGGGTGCCTCTGGAGCCGCCGCGAGGTTGTCACGGGTGCCTTTGGAAGGCTTTTGGGGGCTTTCTGGGAGGCGGCGGGGCTACTTGTACGGGGGGGGGCCGGCGGCCCGTGGGTTGTCTCTTGTAATTCCATAAGTAGAAGGAGAATAATTTAAAATATCCTTGGATATCTGCCTGTAGGGGGACATGCCCGACCTAAGCCAAGGCTGGATGTGGCAAGCGTGCGGAACTATCGGCTGCAGGGTGTGCGGCACGGGGCCAGCCCCACCTTGGCACGGCTGCGCACGCTAGGGGCGCATATATGGTCCAGGGCTTGGGCCCCCCCTCCCCCCCCAATGCTGATGCCATTGGGCCCCCCCCCCCGCGCGATGGTCCCCCCCTCCCCCCCTGTGGGCGTGGCGTGGTGCTGCGCTGCGGTGCCCCCGCCCCCCCCTGCGGATGTGGTGTGGTGCTGAGGTGGTTCAGAGGTGGGAGTGGCGTGGTGCTGCGCTGCGGTGCCCCCCTCCCCCACCCTCTGTGGATGTGGTGTAGTGCTGTGGTGGTTCAGAGGTCGTCGTCGTCGTCGTCCTCGTCGTCCTCGTCGTCCTCGTCGTCGTCGTCGTCGTCGTCGTCGTCGTCGTCGTCGTCGTCATCGTCGTCGTCGTCGTCGTCATCGTCGTCGT